TCAGCTGTTTCTGTAGGTAAACAAAGACTTCAGCTGTTTCTGTAGGTAAACATATCAGCTGTTTCTGTAGGTAAACATTTCGGCTGTTTCAGCAGCTGAACAGAACCAGGATGTCTAAACGTCAGTCTTGTTTTCAGGATCGTGGTTCTAGCAGGCGACACGTTACCCATCGACGTCTACTGTCACCTGCCAATCATGTGTGAGGACAGGAGTCTGCCCTACGCCTTCATCCCGTCCAAAACGGTCAGTCTGACTTCCTGTTGTCCTCCTGAGGACAGGGACATGTCCTCCTGAGGACAGGGACATGTCCTCCTGAGGACAGGGACATGTCCTCCTGAGGACAGGGACATGTCCTCAGCTTTGTGTCTGACTTCCTGTTGTCCTCCTGAGGACAGAGACAGCTTTATGAGCAGAAAGTATTTTTCTGTAATTCAGACTCTTATTTTGAAATGATCTGCAGGATCTGGGATCGTCTGCGGGCTCCAAGCGGCCCACCTGTGTGATCCTAATCAAACCTCATGCGGACTACCAGGACGCCTACGACGAGTGTTTGGAGGAAGTGTCCAACCTGCCCAAACCGCTCTGAGCCAATCAGGACGCACCTCCAACCTGAGCGCTAACACTTTCCACCTGTTTCCAGTGTTTGTGCTAAGCTAGGCTAAAACGGGGCTTCATCCCAACAAAGAACTGATKAATTTTGTTAAAAATGTTTGTTCTAAGTTTTGTTTTAATAAAACATCAAAGGCTGTCAGGCTGTTTGAAGTTGTTTGGATCAAACAGGAAGTTATTTGATATAACAGCACCTGAATGTCAAGTTTTAGCTGATAAAAGAGCTAAAATCCTCAAGTTTTAGCTGATAAAAGAGCTAAAATCCTCAAGTTTTAGCTGATAAAAGAGCTAAAATCCTGTTCTTCGTGGTTCAGCTAGAAGAAATGAGGACGCAGCTGATATTTGTGATGTTTTATTTAAAAGTGACAAAGGTTACAGGAAGCAGAGGTCAAAGGTCAGCGAACAGAAGCTGAAGCTGATTTTAGCTGATGTGGCTTAAAGTTTCAGTCAAACCTGAACAAACATTAAAACTCAGACAGTTCTGCTGGTGGTTCAGTTTGGTGAGCATGTGGACCTGGGTCTGGGTCTTCAGGACCAGGTCTGACTCGTGGAGTAGGACCCAGCTGGCTCGGACAGCAGGCACTGGTTCTGCTGGCTGGAGGTGCGGTTCTTGGCGTCGATCAGGACCAGAGTGGACTGGGAGTAGTGACTGATGATGTCACTGACTGACAGGAAACACTGCAGACAGAAACAGGAAGTGAGCACTGCCCCCTGCTGGAGGACACTCATCACCACAGCACGGTCTGGATCCAGGAACCAGGACTGGACCAGGACCTTCGGAGCACTGATGTTCAGTTTGGGTTTACCTCCTGAGATTTGAGTCCAGTTCCCAGTTGGTACTGCTGGTCCTGCAGCCTGATCTGGATGTTGTAGACCTTGTCCTGGTAGAGGACCATGAGGGTGAAGGGTTGGTTGGTCTGCTGCCGGGTGCTGTCCCTGACCAGGTAGGCCCCGTCCTGAGTGGTGTGGACATGGATCTGATGTTAGTGAGGGACACCTGAGCTGTGAGCAGGTCTGAACAACAGGAAGCAGTTTGTTCACATCTGAACATCATGTGGAGTTCCACAGGGTTCTGTGCTCAGACCAAACCTGTTTGTATTGGACGGTGGTCTGCGGTGGGCTTTATTCAGAAGAAACTTCAAGTCTTTGGTCAGGAGAAAATATTAAATGGATGTTGGAAATGATGAAGTCAGAATTTGTGAAAATACTAAATTTGATTTCAACCTAATAATAAAAACCATTAAATTATATAAAACTAACTTCATGGTATTTAGTGACGAAGAAAATGATTGACGTCTCGTCTGAAGTCAGTGTTTTTACCACGGAGTATTAAGGCCAGTTTGCAGATGAAAAGAAAAAAAAAGGAGCAAAATTTTGTCTAAAAACAAAGATTAATTTCAGAAAGCTTTGAGAAAAAAAAGTTTGTGTAGAAAAATGGCAAATCTGCAAGAAAAAAATCTAAAATTTCCACGATTAAAGACAGAACTTTTATAAATGTAAATGTTTTCTGACTTGGTAAAATCAGAACCTGAAACCTGAAGTTTTTATGAACGATTCCAGCTGTTTTCATAAAGTTTAAAAACTATTATTCTACACTGACGGCAGGAGAGTTCAAACCAAGTGTGTGATTAGTGAAACACACACGTGATTAGTGAAACACACGTGATTAGTGAAACACACGTGATTAGTGAAACACATCTGATTAGTGAAACACATCTGATTAGTGAAACACACATCTGATTAGTGAAACACACACCTGATTAGTGAAACACACACGTGATTAGTGAAACACACACGTGATTAGTGAAACACACATCTGATTAGTGAAACACACATCTGATTAGTGAAACACACATCTGATTAGTGAAACACACACGTGATTAGTGAAACACACACGTGATTACTGAAACACACACGTGATTAGTGAAACACACACGTGATTAGTGAAACACACATTTGATTAGTGAAACACACATCTGATCAGTGAAACACACATCTGATTAGTGAAACACACACGAGATTAGTGAAACACACACGTGATTAGTGAAACACACACGTGATTAGTGAAACACGTGATTAGTGAAACATGTGATTAGTGAAACACATTTGATTAGTGAAACACACATTTGATTAGTGAAACACACATTTGATTAGTGACACACACATGTGATTAGTGACACACGTGATTAGTGAAACACACACGTGATTAGTGAAACACACACGTGATTAGTGAAACACACATTTGATTAGTGAAACACATGTGATTAGTGAAACACGTGATTAGTGAAACACGCGTGATTAGTGAAACACACATGATTAGTGAAACACACATGTGATTAGTGAAACACACATTTGATTAGTGAAACACACATTTGATTAGTGAAACACACGTGATTAGTGAAACACACATTTGATTAGTGAAACACACATGTGATTAGTGAAACACACATGTGATTAGTGAAACACACGTGATTAGTGAAACACACGTGATTAGTGAAACACACATGTGATTAGTGAAACACACATTCGATTAGTGAAACACACATGTGATTAGTGAAACACACATGTGATTAGTGATACACACATTTGATTAGTGAAACACACATTTGATTAGTGAAACACACATTTGATTAGTGAAACACACATGTGATTAGTGAAACACACATGTG